GCATTTCTCTGATAATGAGTGATATTGAGCATCTTTTCATGTGTTTGTTAGCCATCTGTACGTCTTCTTTGGAGAAATGTCTGTTTAATTCTTTGGCCCACTTTTTGATTGGGTCATTTATTTTTCTGGAATTGAGCTGCAGGAATTGCTTGTATATTTTTGAGATTAATTCTTTGTCAATTGCTTCATTTGCTATTATTTTCTCCCATTCTGAAGGCTGTTTTTTCACCTTGCTTATAGTTTCCTTTGTTGTGCAAAAGCTTTTAAGTTCCACTAGGTCCCATTTTTTTTATTTTTGCTTTTATTTCCAATATTCTGGGAGGTAGGTCATAGAGAATCCTGCTGTGGTTTATGTCGGAGAGTGTTTTGCCTATATTTTCCTCTAGGAGTTTAATAGTTTCTGGTCTTACATTTAGATCTTTAATCCATTTTGAGTTTATTTTTGTATATGGTGTTAGAAAGTGTTCTAGTTTCATTCTTTTACAAGTGGTTGACCAGTTTTCCCAGCACCACTTGTTAAAGAGATTGTCTTTTCTCCATTGTATATTCTTGCCTCCTTGGTCAAAGATAAGGTGTCTACATGTGTGGGTTTATCTCTGGGCTTTCTATTCTGTTCCATTGATCTATATTTCTGTCTTTGTGCCAGTACCATACTGTCTTGATGACTGTGGCTTTGTAGTAGAGTCTGAAGTCAGGCAGCCAGTCAGTCAGTTCCATTCTTCTTTCTCAAGATTGCTTTGGCTACTCGAGATTTTTTGTATTTCCATACAAATTGTGAAATTATTTGTTCTAGTTCTGTGAAAAATACCACTGGTAGCTTGATAGGGATTGCTTTGAATCTATAGATTGCTTTGGGTAGTATACTCATTTTAACTATATTCATTCTTTTGACCCATGAACACGGTATATTTCTCCATCTACTTGTGTCCTCTTTGATTTCTTTCATCAGTGTTTTATAGTTTTCTATATATAGGTCTTTCGTTTCTTTAGGTAGATATTCTCCTAAGTATTTTATTCTTTTTGTTGCAATGGTGAATGGTATTGTTTCCTTAATTTCTCTTTCTGTTTTCTCATTGTTAGCATATAGGAATGCAAGGGATTTCTGTGTGTTAATTTTATATCCTGCAACATTACTGTATTCATTGATTAGCTCTAGTAATTTTCTGGTAGAGTCTTTAGGGTTTGCTATGTACAGGATTATGTCATCTGCAAACAGTGAGAGTTTTACTTCTTTTTTTCCAAGCTGGATTCCATTTATTTCTTTTTATGCTCTGATAGCTGTGGCCAACACTTCCCAAACTATGTTGAATAGTAGCTGTGAGAGTGGGCACCCTTGTCTTGTTCCTGACTTTAATGGAAATGATTTCAATTTTTCACCATTGAGGATAATATTTGCTGAGGGTTTGTCATATATAGCTTTTATTATGTTGAGGTATGTTCTTTATATTCCTGCTTTCTGGAGGGTTTTTATCATAAATGGATGTTGAATGCTGTCAAAGGCTTTCTCTGAATCTATTGAGATAATCATATGGTTTTTATCTTACAATCTGTTAATGTGGTGTATTACATTGATTGATTTGCGGATATTGAAGAATCCTTGCATCCCCGGGATAAAGCCCACTTGGTCATGATGTATGATCTTTTTAATATGTTGTTGGATTCTGTTTGCTAGAATTTTGTTAAGGATTTTTGCATCTATGTTCATCAGTGATATTGGCCTGTAGTTTTCTTTTTTTTGTGGCAACTTTGTCAGGTTTTGGAATTAGGGTGATGGTGGCCTCATAGAATGAGTTTGGAAGTTTACCTTCCTCTGCAATTTTCTGGAAGAGTTTGGGTAGAATAGGTGTTAGTTCTTCTCTACATTTTTGGTAGAATTCAGCTGTGAAGCCGTCTGGAACTGGGCTTTTGTTTGTTGGAAGATTTCTGATTACAGTTTCAATTTCTGTGCTTGTGATGGGTCTGTTAAGATTTTCTATTTCTTCCTGGTTCAGTTTTGGAAAGTTGTACTTTTCTAAGAATTTGTCCATTTCTTTCAAGTTGTCCATTTTATTTGCATATAGTTGCTGATAATAGTCTCTTATGATCTTTTGTATTTCTGTGTTGTCTGTTGTGATCTCTCCATTTTCGTTTCTAATTTTGTTGATTTTTCTCCCTTTGTTTCTTGATGAGTCTGGCTAATGGTTTGTCAATTTTATTTATCTTCTCAAAGAACCAGTTTCTGGTTTTGTTGATTTTTGCTATGGTCTCTTTTGTTTCTTTTGCATTTATTTCTGCCCTAATTTTGAGATTTCTTTCCTTCTACTAACCCTGGGGTTCATAATTTCTTCCTTTTCAAGTTGCTTTAGGTGTAGAGTTAGGTTATTTATTTGACTTTTTTCTTATTTCTTGAGGTAAGCCTGTATTGCTATGAACCTTCCCCTTACTACTGCTTTTACCGTGTCCCATAGGTTTGGGGTTGTTGGGTTTCATTTTCATTCATTTCTATGCACATTTTGGTTTCTTTTTTTATTTCTTCTGTGATTTGTTGGTTATTCAGCAGTGTGTTGTTCAGCCTCCATATGTTGGGATTTTTAATAGTTTTTCTCCTGTAATTGACATCTAATCATACTGCATTGTGGTCAGAAAAGATGCTTGGAATGATAGTTCTATTTAAAAATTTTTAAGGGACTTGCATACTGTTTTTCATAAAGACTATATCAATTTACATTCCTACCAGAAGTGTTCTAGTGTTCCTTTCTCTCCACATCCTCACCAATACTTGCTGTCATTTGGTATTTTGATAGTAGCCATTCTAATAAGTGTGAGATGATATTTCATTGTGCTTGTTACCTGCATTTCATTGATGATTATATAAGTGGTGCACTTCTACTTGTTGTCTATTTGGATGTCTTCTTTGGAGAAATACCTATTCAAATCTCTTGCCAATTTAAAAACTGGGTTATTTGGGAGTTTTACTACTAGGTTCTGTGAGTTTCTTATATTTTTTGGATATTAATTCCTTATTAGATATGGCTGAAAATGCTTTCTCTCGTTCCATAAATTGCCTTGCATGTTGTTGATTGTTTCCTTTTCCAGAAAAGTACAGGCATGCCAAGGATTTTCAGAAACATGGGGATAGACAGGGCTACTTGGAGAAGAAGGCATGAGATATTTGCTTGGTTCCTTAGAGGAATACCTTACTTTCTCAAATGTAATTGAGAAAATTGACTGCCTTTTACTTGTTTTCCAAATTGAACTCTAGGGACTTGAGGACAGGGCACAGGACAAAGGCACAGAGCATGTCACTATAGTTCATCAGATGGGAAGAGCCCTGCCGTTAGCTGGAAAGGAATCACTCAGATTCAAGAAGTGTTTCTTAATGATCAGGTAAGTCCTGGGCATCTGCGTCTATGGTTAATATAGTTATGGGGACAAATTCACACTTAAAAATAAATACATTTGCACATATACAGACAACAATGTTAGAATCCACCAGGTGCAGGCCTAGCATACAGTAAAATATATAAAATAAGGAAGTTCTCTGTCCATGTCATGCTGGATCTGTCTTTGTTTCCATCTTCTCTTCTCAAATAATAACTTACTAAGGCAGGAAGGATATATTTACAACAGTAACGGGAACGAAAAGCTTGTATGATAATATCAGAATTCAACGTCCAAAGTCCAGGATGAGTGATCGGGGAATCACACAAATGCAAAGTACAGATGATTCAAAAATGGACGAGTACTTACCCAGACAAATTTATCCACTAAAACTTCTAAACAAAGACTTTTTCCTGTGCCCCAAACTCTGTCCAAGCCCTACTACAATGAACCATGTTTGGCAGAAACCAACAAAATTCTGAAAAGCAATTATTCTTTCATTAAAAAATAACTTTTTTTAAAAAAGAGTGAACTCTAAGGTAAACTATGGGCTTTGGGTGATAATGGTATGTCCATGTAGATTCATCCTTGTTAAAAAATGTTTCACTCTAGTGAGTGATGTTGATAACACACAAGGCAATGCATGTGTTGGAGTAGGGAATATATGGGAAATCTCTGTATCTCCCTCTCAATTTTGTTATAAACCTAAAACTGCTCTAAAAAATATGATTAATGAAGAACGCAGATGTTAAAAAAGGAATTCTCTATCTCCGTCCATTTCTCTCTGGTCTTACTACCCCTCTTATAACCTATTTTCCCAACATCTCTAAGTAGCTCAGAAACTAAAAAGGAGGTAGAAAAATATATCTCACCCTGAATTCTCCACATTATTTGAGGAAAGAAACATCACATGTAAATATTGTACTTACCATATCTCAGTGAGAATAAAGCTTAAATGTACTAGGAAAATGCATGCTTCAGATGAAAGGAGAGTCTATTAATTTGCATTTTACTTCTCTTTAGCAAAATCAAAACCATGAGATGGGACAACATATCAAGTCCTTCTGAATTTATCCTACTGGGGCTCTCCTCTAGGCCTGAGGACCAGAAGCCTCTATTTGTCCTCTTTGTTACTATCTACCTGGTCACTCTGATGGGAAACCTTAACATTATCCTGGCCATCTATTCAGATATTCACTTACAGACCCCCATGTACTTCTTTCTGAAAAGCCTGTCCTTTGTTGATATTTGCTACACAACAGTTATTATTCCAAAAATGCTGATAAACTTCTTATCAGAGGCAAAGACCATCCTCTATAGTGAGTGCATGACCCAAACATACTTCTGCCTCTCCTTTGGTAATGTAGATAGTTATGTCCTAGGAGCCATGGCCATTGACCACTATGTGGCCATATGCAAACCCTTTCATTACATCACCATCATGAGCTATAAATGTTGTGTCCTTCTACTGATAATCTCCCTCACCATCCCATTTCTTCACTCACTCCTCCATGTCCACTTGCTGAATCAACTCACCTTCTGTGCTTCCAACATTATCCATCATTTCTTCTGTGAACTCAAGGCAATGCTGAAGTTGTCCTGCTCATCTACATATGTCAATGAGATGGTGATAAAGACAGAAGGACTGTCTGTGGTGATGGCCCCCTTTATGTGCATCATTATCTCTTATCTGAGGGTTCTCACCACTGTTCTGAAGATCCCTTCAACTGCTGGGAAGTATAAGGCCTTCTCTACCTGTGGCTCCCACCTCACTGTGGTGAGCATGTTTTATGGGAGCATCAGCTATGTCTATCTCCAACCGCTGAACAGCTACACCGTCAAGGATTGGATAGCAACAATCATCTACACTATGTTAACTTCCATGTTGAACCCTTTCATCTACAGTCTGAGAAACAAAGATTTGAAACAGGGCTTCGGGAAACTGATAGATAGGATAAAGTCACAATGACATGGGTTTTATGCTAAGTCTTAGGCAATTCTGCAGATTCACTATTGCCTGAATGCAAGTTCTTGGTGTTTGTGATCAACTGAGAAATATTAGTAAAGGTGCTTCATGAATGATGGGAAAATATTAACTGAATATAATGTTTCCCCTAACATTTCCTACATTGAACCCAGTGATATCCATCATTGCTGCTGTTTTGTTGCTAAGTCATGTCTGACTCTTTAGATTATTATATAGGAAAACATCAAAGTATGTGATAGCTTAATAGTATTTTGAACTATACTGAGGTAGGGAAATTAATGAATACATACATTGTTTATGATGAAAAATTGACAAAAGGTCTTCGAAATGAAATTTGTCAATATATATAAAGTACACCCTTTGACTAGAAATGCCATCTAAAATTTTAGCCTACAATTGTACTTGTGGAAGCCAAACAATAATAGCTAAATGTCTATCTACTTGTTTCTTATTATATAAACATACAGTTGAATGCTATAAAAAAAAAGAAGCTGTTAAAATGAGTGAACCTATATTCATTCATCCAAGAAATAATTGTAGGTGCTTACTATGTTCAAGCAGTGTTCTAGGTGCTAGGATACAACAGTGAACACAGAATCTCATCATGGAGTGCTCCAATATAAAGTTTAAGTTTTCCATTTACTGATATACAACGATGTTCAATATATATATTGTGAATTGAAAAAACTTAAGGAACAGAACTGTATGGATTTTTAGATACATGGTTGAGTAGATGTGAATGATTGTAGTGCACAGACTGTCTATTCTCTGGATGCTTACCCTAGAAATTGCTATTTGGTCACCTGCCTCTGGAGGTTCCAGGACAAGAGAAAAACTTGGTTATCACTCTTTAATCTTCACCACTATTTGAATTTTTATTCATACATATTTTTAATACATATATTTTTTAAAGTTTTAAATAGCTACTTAGCCACTTAGGCTTTTTATATGTGACTGATTTCAGACCAGATCATCATGCCCAGATTTTTCTTCTATGAGATATCTTTCATAGATAAAGACGAACACAGTATACTAACATATATATATATGGAATTAGAAAGATGATAATAATAACCCTATATGCAAAATAGAAAAAGAGACACAGATGTGCAGAACAGACTTTTGGACTCTGTGGGAGAAGGTGAGAGTGGGATGTTTCAAGAGATCAGCATTGAAACATGTATATTATCTAGGGTGAAACAGATCACCAGCCCAGGCTGGATGCATGAGACAAGTGCTCAGGCCTGGTGCACTGGGAAGACCCAGAGGGATCGGGTAGAGAGGGAGGTGGGAGGGGGGATCGGGATGGGGAATATATGTAAATCCATGGCTGATTCACGTCAATGTATGGCAAAAACCACTACAATATTGTAAATTAATTAGCCTCCAACTAATAAATTAAATGGAAAAAAAAAGATATCTTTCATGCAGATTTGGACACTGACACAGACTTCCTTCCTAAAAGTTCATGGTGATGGCCAGGTGGTCACATTGCATGCTTTTTTATGTTGTAAATGACATCATGTCTTCCTCCAAGACATCATCATAACCATTGGCAAAGGTCATACAGAAGTTGTAGGATGTTGAGATATGAATAATAAATATTTGTCATATTCTCATGACTCTGTCTGGTATAGAGCACTCAAAAATGTTAATAGCTATTATTGTTATATTAGTGGCTAGATTTATTTACCTATCTGGCTACACTCTACTGCATATTTCAACATGCTGTTGATCAGTTCTGAAGCTGTGTCTGACTCTTTGTGACCTCATGGAATTGCAGCATGCCAGGCTTCCCTGTCCTTCACTATCTCCCTGAGTTTGCTCAGACTCATGCCCATTGAGTCAATGATGCCATCCAATCACCTCATCCTCTGTCACCCCTTCTCCTCCTGCCTACAATTTTTCCCAGTGTCAGGGTCTTTTCCAGATCCCAATGCTAATCCAAGTGTAATCAGTCTGAGTCTTTTTGGCCCCATAGACTATAGACCACTAAGTTGCTCTGTTCATGGAATCTTCCAGGCAAGAACACTGGAGTGGGTTGCCATTTCCTACTCCAAGGGATATTCCCAACCCAGGGGTTGAACCCCCATCTCTTGCATTCCTCCTGCATTGGCAGGCAGATTCTTTACCACCTGGGAAGCCCATGCTAATAAAATCTTCAAAGAAACAAAACAGATATATGAAGCTGTGTAGAAACAACTCATTAAAATTGGCATTTATGAATTGTTAACTAGCAGAGTTTTGATTTAGTATAATGTTTTAATTTTTCTGCACCAAAAACTAAATTCTTCATTTTATTAACAGCATTTTTACTATCTCCTTATGTAAATAGACCTGATCTTCATTAGCATGGTTGAAATTCCAATATGAAAAAAGATTAAATAAAGAACTGGATTTGCATTGTATAATACCAATAAAGGTAATTCATCTCATCAATGTAACATTATTCATCAATTACTTTATTTTCAGTTTAAATTGTTAGTATAGTTTACATGACATTTAATTTGTAAAAATCTTTATTTTCTGTTGTTTGGAGAGCTGGAATTTATAAGCAATATAAGAATTAAGAGTAAAGCTTGTTTTAAATTTATACATATTAAGTAACATCACAAAAATATACCTACATAAAACAATAAAAATGTGCATATATTTATTGTAGTTATTTGTGTTATTCCATTAAAACAGATGTTCTGATTGTGTGAGCTTGAGAGACTCTGCTCTTTCACTTCATTCGGATCTCTGCTCAAATATTCCTCTTTCAGAGAGCTCCTCCCTGACTGTGCTTTTCTAAAAGACTACCTCCCCTGTCACACTATGTTCACTTGTTGTACTTTTTTTTACAATGCCCCTTGTGACTTTGGGGTGTATTATATTTTTATTTGTTTAATATCTGTCTTTTCTCACTAAAATTCAAACTCTGTGAGTACATGTGCTTTATTTTATTTACTGCTGTATTTCTAGAACTTACTAAAGTCCCTGGTACATAGCAGACCTTCAGGAAATATTTACTGAATGAATGAATGAAAATGTTCCTTACAGTTCTGGGCAGAGCTGGAATTGAATGAATTCTTCACTTTGGACTCCTCATGAAGAGCCACATGTAAAAGAATGAATTTGTACCCTAATCTTATGTACAAAAATCAACTCAGAATAGCATAAAAACTTAACTGTAAATCCTGGAACTGTAAAACTTCTAGAAGAAAACACAGAGAAAATTCCTTGACATTGGTCTTAACAATAATTTTTTTTTAGTATGACATCAAATGTGTAGACAACAAAAGCAAAAATAATTAAGCAGGACTGTGTCTCAAAACTAAAAGGTTTTTACACAGCAAAGGAAACCATCAACAAAATGAAAAGGCAAGCTACATAACATGAAAAATATTTACAAACCACACATCTGATGAGGGGTTAATATCCAAAATATATAAGGAACTCATACAACTTTGCAGAAAAATAAGTAACTCAATTAAAAATTGGGCAAAGCACAACTGAATAGACTTTTTCTCCAAAGAAGACATACAAATGTCCAAGAGGTACATGAAAAGATGACCAGCATCACTATTAGGGAAATGAAAATCAAAACCATGATAAGTTATCATCACACACCTCTTAGAATGGTTATCACTTTAAAAAAAAAAAAGAAGAAGAAAAAAGGAAACCCTTGTACACTGTTGGAAGAAAAGTAAGTGGGTAAAGAATCTGCCTGCAATGCAAGAGACATAGGAGTCTCAGGTTCAACTCCTGGGTCGGGAAGAGTGGGCATGGCAACCCACTCTAGCATTCTCATCTGAAGAATCCCATGGATTGAGGAGCCTGGCAGATTACAGTCCAAAGGGTCATAATGTTTGACAGAAACAACAAAATTCTGCAATGCAATTATCCTTCAGTTAAAAAAATAATAATAATAAATAAATTTTTAAAAATAAACAAGAAAGAAAAAAGAACTTTTTAATTAAAAAAAAAAAAGAGTCAGACATTGCTAAGCAGCTAGGTACAAGCACTATAATGAAAACCTGTATGGAAATTCCTCAAAAAATTAGAACCACCATGTGATATAGCAATCCCCTTCTTGGTTTATCTAAAGGAATTGAAATCAAGATCTTAAAGAGATACCTGCTGCGTGCCCATGTTCCATGCAGCATTATTTATAATAGCTAAGATATGGAAACAACTGAAATGTCCATTGACATATAAATAGATAAGTAAAATGCAGTATATACATATAGTGGAATATTATTCAGCCTTAACATCTTGTCATTTGTGACCACGTGAATGCAGGAGGACATTATGTTGAGCGTAACTAGCCAGACACAGAAAAAAACATTTGCATGATCTCACTTAGGTAGGTAGACTCTAAAACAGTCAAACTCAGAGAAGCAGAGAGTAGAATAGAGGTTCCAGGGGTTGAAAAAAGGGAGATGCTGATAGGTAAATGTCAAAGGATAAATGTTCTGGATATCCACTGTACAGCATAGTGCCTATAGCTAACAGTACTGTATTGCATGCTTAAAATTTTCTAAGGAGGTAGGTGGATCTTATGTTAAGTGTTCATCTCCATCATCACCATCACCATCATCATCATAGATGGTGTGGGAGGAAATTTTGGGAAGTAATAAACATGTTTATGGCCTTGGTGTTGATGGTTTCACAGGTGTACACTTTACCCCAAAGTCATTGAACTAGATACACTAAATGTGTAAAGCTTTTACATGTTAATCATACCTCAGATGTCCCTGGCAGTACTGTGATAAGAATCTGCCTACCAATGCAGGGGAAACAGGTTTGATCCTTGATCCAGAAAGATTCTACACGCTGAGGAGCTAAGCCCTTGTGCCGCAACTACTGAAGCCTGTGCATCGACAGCCTGTGCTCTGTCAACAAGGGAAGCCACCACAATGAGAAGCCTGTGCACTGCAAGGAAGAGTGTAGGGAATATGCTATGCATGGACCTGTACTATAATTAACAGGGCTTCTTT